AATTACTGTATTATTATTAACAGAGGTAATAAGGTTTCTGGTCGACTTCATACCTCCAGTTATGATGGATGGTCTGCTGTTGCGCCAGACTTCCACATTTCTTACACATTTGCATGTATTCCTATTAAACGTCAATTTCTGTGTTTTGTAGTCACAAGCAATGAGTAGCACAGCTGATCTGTTGGAAAAAATTTTAAAAGCAATTGAAGGAAACATCACCACCGAGAATAGCTGCTCTCTTCTTATGGCTCTGGACACGTTACTGAGCTCTGACAGTACAAAGGAAATGGTACTGAATGTCATAAAACTCATTAAAATGACGTATTTGAACTATGTCAAGATTTTTAAATATATACACATTTTAAATGTCACATAACTTATTTAAACTAAGTGTTTGATACCTGGGGTTGGTGATAGTATTTTGTGTATATTTAGAATTTTTCATAATATAAATCTTTTTAATTTCATTTACCTCTACGTGGACTTATAAAAGTTCAGAATCTGGAAGTTTGGCTGGCTAATTCTAAACATAGTTTGGTACTTACCAGTATTAATTGGTACAGCATAACTTTAGTATTTCTCCCCAGTCACTATATTATATTTCCTGAATATTAGACTTAAGGAATTTTAAATATTTTTTTAGAGTTTTAATCATCAGTGTCTTTTAGTTTTATAATATACTCTTAATTCCTTTTTGTCTTCAGAAAAATCATTTAAAATTGGATTAACTGGGGAAAAGCAAAATTAAAATATTTCTTATTTTTAAATGCAGTTAATCAATGGTAATTAATAAACTAATTGCATATTATTGACATTTTGTATTTGTTCAACAAGAATGATAAAAAATTGTTCATTATATTTATTACAACTGCGTAGAGTATTTGACCTTGTAATGTCACAGTTGATTTGAAAAGGCTATGGAAGGTATTCACATAAAGGCCACTGGTGGTTTAAATCAATGTTTGGTTAAAAGCATAAGGTCGAAAGGATAAGGTTCCTGTTCATTAGAAAATTTGTTGTTGAAGGGTAAGCCTTCATAAATAACTTGTATCTGACGATCTTAAAAATCTAAGTGGTGACATCATTGATCTAGCTTAGGAGTAAGGAGATTCGGAAAGGAATAATGACTGGTTGCTATGACAATGTGGCTCTCACCAGCTGCTGATTTGTTGCCTGAACACAGGGTTTTACGTGCAAGATCCAGGCTCTGCGTGATAAGCTGTGGATCTTCCTGGTTCAGTCTTTCTATGCTGTTCGTCACACAGAAAGCTGGAAGCTGATGAGCACAGATGATCAACAGAAAATCCAAGCAGGTATGTTAGCCTTGAGATTTTTTATTCTTATAATTGTGACAAAAGATATTTTGAGGGAATTCTAATAAGTGATAGGATTAACGTTTGTTTGCTTCTGTTCAGTAATAGCTTGCTAATTGAAAGTAGTGATTTTTTTTCAGGCAGTTTTAATAAATCATGCTTTTATTCTGTTCTTAGGAAATAAAACTCATTTACTTTAATATATATATGTAATTCTACTTTATATTAGCAACAATGTTCTAGCCAAATCTGCTTAAAAGCATTCTTGCAGAGAGATTAGAAGTGTAGGAAAATGTAACCCATATAAAACAGATTACCAAGCATACTTTCTCTCCCTTTTTAAGTATATTTTTTCATAAAGCTTTTCCACCTTTTGCATAAGATTTCTTGTGGTTTTGCCTAGATTAGATGCTTTATTTCACAATTGATTGGTTCAGTGATATGCTGTGTGCTACTGCGGAGTGTCCCTCAGGAGCTGCACAGTGGTCTCTGACATTTAATAGGTACCATTTTAAATAATAGTATTAAACAAAAGATGTATATTGCTCAGTGCTCAGACTGTGTATTTGTTTCTAAAATGTTAAAATAAAAAATTGAGGGTGTGGAAATGAAAATGGCTTCATGACTGTTTTGGACCTTAGGAAAAATATTGACAGATTCAGCAAGTATACTTTTAAAAACATTTTAAGAGACTATATGAAGCAAGCATTATGAAGCAAGCACTTTTGTACTATAAAAATGGAAGCCATATGTGATATAATATATTCTTGATAGTATATAGATATGTTAAATTCATTAATGGTTTAGTCAGAATGTGATTTGCTCTGTCTTGCATTAGGAGCATAACACGATACTGTAGCTAGATGTGATCTCAAGAACACTTTTCAAAAAAGTACCAACAAAATAATAAAACAACAAAATCCATGAAACAAGAAAAATCACGAGATGGTTTTTAGAAATTGGAATTTTTTTCCTTGTGGCTATTTCTGTACTGATTTGTAGATGACAGTTCATCTATACTATAAAATCTATACAGGGTGAAGAAACTAGATTAGCATTCCATGAGTAGGTATTATTCAGCTCTCTTCTGATTGGGATTAAACTTTGTTTTTTCTCCATTTTTAAGAGGATTTCATAGTTAGATTGGGCAGCAAACAGTATTCACCATCTTTAATTCTTCAAAATGCTAATTTAGTGTACATATGAATACATATATACACATACATATCCAAAACAAAATGTGACTAGTAACCCAATTAATTGTCAAAAATTATTTTTAATGGATTATATCAGTGTAAAAATAATTTTTTAATCTTAAATATGTTGAATTATAATGAGTCCTGACTTATGCATAATTACTGCTTTGGGAAAGCCCCGATAAAGGAGTGTAGGTTGTCTTTGTTATAACGTTTCTTATGTTCTAGTTTGAGTAACTGACCTGTGGGAGAATTTCCTCCTGTGTATTTTTGTGCAAAGTCATTTGCTAAGTACAAACCAGTCCTTGTAATGCTATTCCTAGGATTCTGCTTTGTCTTATAGCAGTTTCTGTAGAACAGAGATAGTGGAAGATGCATCACAGAGTTACAGAAAATTTAATGTATTTTTTCATCAGCTGTTTTAATAAAAATAAAATAAATTTTGGAAGTTATATATATATATATCTATTTCTTCAAAATACATTTTAAAGCCATATAACCTTCAAAAGGAAGAAATATATTATCTAAACTATATTTATACCTCTCATACTGTTATTCCTATATATTTTCCTGATGTCATTTAAATTCGTATTTGAACATAAATATGAGTTCCCCAATAATTCTCATGTAAACTTAATCTATAAAGTGAATTTTTTATATAAGTCTAAGAAGAATGATAGAGGTTTAAGGACTATCTCTTATTTTCAACAAAACCTTATTTTTTTCTCTTTACTCCTTCCTCATAACATACCTGCAGAACCAGAAATTTTTTACCTGAGTATTTTTACATTTTTAGGATAAATATTTTCTCATATTTAGTAGTTTATAAAATATTACATTTGCCACAATCTGTAATATTTTTGAAATTTGGAAAACTAGCTAAAAGAAACCAGTTATCTCTAAAATTTCACAGCTTGAGAAAATTCTGGGTTTTTGTAAATGTATAAATCTTCTCTGTGAGACTAGAGGTTTCTCATTTATTAATTTTAATAACATACAATCCATAGGGACAAGAAGGTAAGATTCAAAATGAGGTTCTTTGAGAACAATTATATAATATAATAGGGAATTACTTATGTGTACTAGATTGGATTCAGCATTTAAAAAGTTATTTCCATCAAGATACAACCTTTTTCTGCTAATTACTATTTTCCCTCATGTCTGTGGTGATAACAATGCTTCCTATAAAAATAAACTGCTCTTTTTTTTTTTTTCTACAGCTGCATTTGACAAAGGTGATGATCGAAGACTTGGCAAAAAGCCTGTATTCAGCAGCTCTCAGGTAAACTTTTATACTTTTATAGGTCCAGATGAAAAAAGAGAACAAATAATTTAAATTTTATAATTTTATATTTCAGAATAATTTTTAAACTTTTCTTTCATTAATTAAAGCTGTTTCTTGATGGAAATAATTTTGAGCCTTTTTTAATCAAGTGAACATTTCATAAGGTTTAAAATGATATGCATTTTTTGATATGCATTTTTATATGCATTTTTGATATGCATTTTATATGCATTTTTTGATATGCATTTTATATGCATTTTTGATACCCAGCTGGCATGGGAAGTGAAGTATCATCTATCTTTTTTATTTCCTTGAAAACCTTTTTGGCAACTAGCATATTGGAACTATTCCAGATCAGAAAGTGTCTAGAATTATAGGTGTAATTCCATGTCCATTTTTCTAATTAACCTACTTCTTACAAAAGATTTCAGTTGTCCCAGTTTTCTCTATACTAAGATTTTAATTCACATAATATATTCTTGGCGTGAAAAAGACAATTAATATCAAGAGTACAGTTGTGTTCACTTTACAGGTTACTTGGTGCATTTATATGAGATATTTAAAATGGTTAAACTCTAAAAAACAAAGTAGAATGGTGGCTGCCAGGGGCTGGGACAAGAAAGAGGGGAATAGTTGTTCAAAGGGTATATACAGTTTCAGTTTTGCAAGATGAAAAAGTTCCAGAGATGTGTTGCACAACAAGGCACATACAGTTAACATGACCATACTGCCCACTTAAAAATAGTTAAGATGGTAAATTTTATGTTATTTGTTTTTTATTATACACATGCACACACACACGTAAGTTACTTGGTATGTTCATAACAACATGAAATACATTTTTCTTCCCTCAAAATGTTACTAATGATGGTTAGAGTTCCAACCTAGCTAACTTACAGATGGTCACTTAATCAAATATATTTGAAGTAAGAAGTTATACTAAGCTAGACATGCATTACAGTGATATGGAGACAGACACTGAGAGTTCATTTGGAATGCAAAGAATATATTGCCCTTGCAAGAGTGTAATAGGGAACCTTTCTTCCTTATCAGCCAGTAGGTCGGAACTCACACAACTCCAAGCCGCAACCAGGAGATCTCACAGCTTGAGGCAGAGGTCAAGCTCCAAATGTCTTTGGTGAGAAGCTGTAGGATGCTGGAGGTTTTTGCTAGTAGACTTCCTAGGATTACTGCCCTAAGTGTGTGGCACAGTATTTTCCAGCTCCATCATAGCTGGATCACATGTTCCATCATATGTTCCATCTATGAACATCTAGTGTCAATTGAGTTTGAGAACTGCCACACACCACAGCTCCTCTCAGAGAGCAACGACACACATCAGCACCTGGAGCTCGGCAAAACACAACAGGAAAGGACACTATTGAATTTTATTTTCCCCAGAATTTCCTCAAAATTTTATAACCATGGAACACCACTGGACTTGCTCTCGATCCCGTTTAAGCATATTACACAGTTCTACACAACATCCTCTAGGAAATGGCATCTTAGGACATTTTTTCCTATGTCCTCTGTTCCCTTTTATCCCGTGTGTGTGTTCTAAGGCCCCCAGGAGTTAGCCCATCTGCCTGCCTTTCCCCAGGTTCTGCTGACTGACTGCTATCAACCAGGATTCTCCTCCTTCCTTGCCTTACAGTGAAAGAGAACAAAATCTCATCTCCCGTCCTTAGTTCCTGACTTTCAGGTGTTCTAAGGGTTTACACTGTTAACCACACCGGGAAGAAAAGAGGCTAATGTGTTCCCCTCCGAAAGGCAGTGGTGTCCTGAAATGGATGGTGGACATAAAATCAGAAGAGTTCAGGTCTTGACTTCACATTTATTATCTGTGTCATCTGTGAGTCTTAGTTTGCTTATCTATAAAACAGTAATAAAACCGAGACACATCAGGTGGGGAGGGTGTAGCTCAGTGGTAGAGCACATGCTTAGCATGCATAAGGTCCTGTGTTCAATGCCCAGTGCCTCCATAATAAATACATAAACTTAAATAAGAAACCTAATTACCACCCCCATAAAAATCAATTAAGAAGCAGAAAATAAAAAGAAAATTTTAAAAAACCTCACCATAGTATTGTGAAAATTGAGTGAAATAACTTATGTGCAATTATCTAGTATGTAGTAAGTGCCTCGATAAGTATGGGATGAATAAATGTGTTTTCCAAAAAGAGATGAGAAAGTTAATGAGATAAGATAGAGAAAAAGGGTTAAGAAGAGTGCTGGTACCAAAGTTAGAATAAAATTACATGATGTCTGGGATTTGCTGCAAAATAAAATGGCGGCACTTACACATGCCACAGAATTGGCCGAGAGCTGGTGATGGTTCAAGCTGGGGACTCATTATACTGTTCTGTCTCTTTCCGATCATGTTTAAATTTTTCTATAGTAAAAAATTGAAACAACAACAACAAAAAGGAATAGTACTAGACCTGCAATGGAGTCTAAGAGGAAGGATTTAAAGGTTACTCTTTTTTCTTCATTTTTTGTCAGTAGCATGTGGTGACCATTCCCAGCTGGCCATTTGCATATGAGAAACATGTGTAAACTTAGTAGATGTAAGTCACAGGTTGCCTGAAAAGGCATACACACTGAATCCTCACCGTCCTATACTATGTTGATGTGAACTTTCTAAAGGAGTACAGTTAACCACGCGACACAGATCTCACCCTCGTCGTGACTTTTTTAAAACGGATAGATTCATTAACATAACACTGTAAACCGACTACACTTTAATTTTGAAAAGTAGATTCAAGGATAGAGCAAATTAAGTAGGATTAGTTTTAAGGGCAAGAAGAGGTCTGACATCGGGAGTCTTCCTGGTTGTAGGTATTAAAAATAGAGAAATGTTATTTTTTTGAGCTAAGATTTGATCGAGAAAACAAAAAATGGGGACCAATCCTGTCTGAACTTTTGAAGTATTACCCAGAATCCCAGAGCACTGCACTGAGTAGGACCAGTCTCCATCATCCAGACACGCATAATCTGAGGCCCAGGGGTGTTAATAATGACTTCTTAGATGGCCCAAGAGGCGAAGCCATGGCAAGCGTCTAATGATTCCTTTATTACTCTGCCTTGCTCTTCCCCAAACTTAACCAGGTTATTTACTATTCATGTATATGTGTATGTGTGTGAATACACACTCGCACATACTTACATATATGTGTTATTTTTACCTTAGACAAATTTTCATAATTAGAAGCTTTCTACATTTAGAGGTATCAGCTTATTCTCCAATTTAACAGCCATCACATTTTGTGAGCGCCCAGTGTGTGACGGGCGCAGTGCTAAGGGATACAGGATGAGACAGCACACGCTCTGCCTCAGACCTCAGCAATCCCAGACAGGCTTCCAGTGGGAGGGGGAGTGTTTACATAAAGGATGGCAGTATCATCTTAAAATTTTATTCTGTAATTCCTACCAGTTTTTAAAATTTTGTTATTCCTTTCCATACAAGTTTCGTTCTAACCAAAATGATAAAGTAGGTGCATTGTCTTCAGTGCTCTTCTATTTCCCCTTTTTACCTATTTCACCTATTTTTAAGACCCCTTTTTCTTCCTCCAGACAGGCAATATGGTATTACTGTCTTTTTTTTTTTCCTTTCAAAAACCAAACTTTTCAGATGTAATGTGTTGTTTCCTAGGGGCTTCCCCCACCCCATATCTACACAGAGGATTAAATCTTTAGTGATAAAACTTTCGGCTTTCGGGATAGTATTGAAGAGAGAATTTTTGGTGAAAATCTAATGTCCCTCAGATGACCACCTGCTTAAAGAAGTGTATTTTGAACTCAAGTCCTGGTTCCATCCCTTGTCAGCATGTGACCTTGGGTACTTTACATACTTGCTGTAATCCCCAGTTTGTTGTTTGTGAAATGGACATAGCTAAGGAGCTATCTCATAGAACTGTTGTGAGGATTAAGTAAGATGGTGTATGAAAGGGTTTAGCACAGAATCTGGGAGTGGGCCCTCAAAAAATGTTGGATATTGTTATCATTCGCCCGAGGCATCCTGACAACATTAAGTATCATCTCTACCGTAACTTCATGAAGTGAAAGAGTGTGTCTTTTAAAGTAGAATTTCCTGTTAACTTCTTATGCTGCATTTCGGGTCTGATTACGGTAATGGGATCAAAGACACATTCAGATGCTCAAAGACAGTTAAGGTTTACGTGGCCCTAAATCACAGTGTGAACTTGGCTGCTCTTTCCTCTTTGAAAAACGGGCTGTTGAAACAGCATTACATGTCAAAGACTTCAGTCACGTCACAAAGTATTTTTTCTTTGTAGCAAAGGAGACAAGTTTCTGACTCTGGCGTTGTAAAGAACAAACCCTGGAGAGGAAGTAACGAGAAGGGGTATCGCAGTTATCCCTCTACTGACCAGAAGATGAAATCTGACGGATTAGGAGCATCTGGACATTCATCAAGTACTCACAGAAATTCTATAAGCAAAACTTCAAAACATGATGATTTAAAGGAAAAAGATGGTACAAAAATAGCACCTAAGAGCACAAAAGAATCAAAAACTGTGGGGAAAAGTGCTGCTGGAAAGCCCAAAGCTACAATAAGGCCCCAAACAGAAAATGGTGATAACGCAAAGTCAGCCAACATGTCACCCAGACAAGCTGTAGAAAGACCTGCAACAGCAGCAGCGAACGGACAGAAGAAACCAGTCAATGGAACAGGAGTGAGAAATCAGGAAGGGCCGATCACAGGTGCCAGGCCCAAGGCAGCTGCCGGAAACGCCAGCGTGCCAGCCAAAGCAAAGCCTCCGAAGAAAGCGACAGGCAAAGGTGCTCCAAGCCTCGGGCCTGCAGGACCCTCCGGCAGATCTGCAAATCCACGTGTGGAATTACCGACTTCCACGGACTGTCTGGATGAACCAAAAGCAAACGGATCAATAGAAGAGAAGCCTTCCGGCCACAGACTTCCCTTCTGCGAAGCTCCAGCACAGACAGCACAAAGCAGTGGAGAAGGTAGCACAACCTCCGCTGCAGGTGGGTTTTACCACGCTAATTTTTAATAGCTTTTGGGGAGATTTTTAAGAACAGTTTAAGTTCCTAGGAAAAAAAACCCTGTGTTTGGACTTTTACTTAGTTTCAAATGCCAAAAAGTATTTATTTACGTACATTCATGCAAACTGAGAAAAAAGTTTGTCCCACATTAACATTTAATTTTGTATAGTCTCTGACCAGTGAATTTATACATAATAGTTACATATTTAGTGTTCTATCTCATGACTCACTTTTCTTAATTTACAGCAGTAAAATCTCAACCTGTTTCAAAAGTTACCAATGGAACTTCCAATAGAAAGAGCGTTCACGAACAAGAAACCAATATAACTAACAGGTAAATCTTCATTCATTGCTTTACCTGGACAGTAGCTTTCTCTGGAGGTTAACTGTATACTAACTTCTAGCTACATATTTAAAAAATATCTTTCCTTTGTTAGAAAATTTCACTTTATGGTATTTAAAATTTGTTATTTGTTGTGCACAATGATTGATGCAAAATGACAGAATTTATACTCGTGGCACTTGATTATGCATTGCTTATCTTCGTTGATCTACAGTTTTATAAACTTAAACACCTATGAACATACGGTTTTTCTATTTTCAGAAAAGATTTTTTTTTTACTTCTTTGAGAAAAAATGTATTTCGTGTATGGGTCTTTTAAAAATTCATGTTTTGAAATCTCAATGTAATACTAAATGCAAATAATTTTTCTTAGTGTGTTAAAGAAGGTCACCAGCAAAGGATGCAGTGACCCAGTGCCACAGGCACTTCTAAAGAAGAGAGGAAATGGCAGTGGGTGTGCTGCTGCTCAGACGAGGACAAAGAACACCCCGCCCAATCTTGCCAAAACTCAAGGTAAAGCTGAAACAGTCCTAGGAGTTGCTTCCTTGTTTAAACTGAATAAGGAGAACTCTGATTTGGAATTTTAGCAGAAAATAAGCAAAATACAATATGGTTTCACTCATTTTACATCCATTTCATACTATAGAGATGAGATTTTATTCTTTCACTTTTCAGACAAGCATTTTGGTATTTCGGCGTGTGAGTTTAGTTTTTATTATCTTCTGTGAAAGAATAATTAAGGAAGCCACTAGGTTATCTGCGTTTCTGGCCTTTTTAGATATTATGCCTGTGTTTCTTCAAAGTTTCGCTGATAACTAAGAATTCCATCTGCAAAACCAGCACAGAAGAGCTCTTTAACAAGTAGTGGTATAGTCTTGAGAGCTGTGACGTGCAGGGAGGAAGAGTTCTCTCGGGACTCCACGCGGTGCCTCTTGTGTTTCCAGGCTCTGAGAAAGAAGAGCGTGCTGATCAGACTGCATAATTTGCTAACATAATAACTGATTTTAAAAAGCAATGTGTTTTATGTATTAAGCGTTCACATAGGTAAGAGTAGTTTGTAAAATCCTAAAAACAATTTTGAGTTAGATAATGAATTAATACTGAAAGTAAATTTTAAAATAAGCCAGAGAAAAATTATTCATGTTTTAGTAACAGCTAAAAAATTAAACATTTAAAAAGACTTGGTAATTGTTTGACAGATTTAAACGCTCAAAATATCATCTCTAGCAATTTAACCATTATAAACAAATGGATTCTCAAAATTAATCCTCTTTCCTTCCAGTTAGTTTTGACTGCATATCTAAGTGGTTAACCCTAATGAGCTACAATAGTAATGATCTGGTTATGAGAAATAGTTTTGTTACTGTTTGAGGAAAAAATTGTAATAATTTCAACATTTTTATCTTAAGTTTCTCTTTAATCTCCTTTTCAGCTGTGTGGCACACAGACTATTCTACCCCCCACGCCCCCCAAACTTCAAAGGGAAGGACCCTTACTTCTTTTCTGGTATAAGAAAATCAGATTTTTCCACCCCCATGTATTTATGCAAATCCAGTTCTGGCATAAGGTCAAAGCTCTTTGCTTGAGGAAGACAGATCGTATTTTAATACTATCCTTACTAAGACTTTGGAATAGTTCCTCTATGTTTGTAATAAAAAAATTTTTTTTATTTTATCATGTCACTGACTCCTGATTTGTAATTGTCCATTTGATCATAGCTATGTTACCATTTCATTGTTTTATCTATTTTATTTCTTCTAAAGGAATTTAAAAACAAATACTCAACTTCACTCACAAACTGGAAGGTATATTGTATCTTTGAATTTTCTTTTCTTAGGCTCCCAAGGAGGATCACTACATTCAGTAAAATCTTCGGTCTCTTCAAGGCAATCTGATGAAAATGTGACAAAACTGGACCACAGTACAACTACAGATAAACAAACACCTAAGAGAAAAATTGTCAAGCAAGGACAAACAGCTGTGCCTAAAATGAATGCAAAAATAGTAGCAATGCCTAAAAACCCAAATCAATCTAAGAAAGGTGAAACTTCGAATAATAAAGATTCAAAACAGAAAACACTCCCTGGACAGGTTATATTGAAGACTCAGCCTTCTTCTCAAAAACCTTTAAAAAGTGAACCATCTGTTGTCCAAAGAAGTGTGCCTCGTGATGTCCGTGGCGACAACAGCACAGGCACTGTTCCAGAACAGAAGCCTCATGAACCTGCAATGAATCCCGCAGCCGACATCAGTGGCACAGAAGCGTTTCCATCATGCAGACCCGACCCACAAAAGCCACTAAACAAGCAAGAAAAACAGAAGTTGGTGTTAGAATGCCAAAATACTTCAAATCAGGATAAGTCAATGAAACATGAACTGGAATCAAAACAGATTCCTTCAGATAAATGTGAAACAAATTTTTCTGGTCACAAAGAAACAGATCATTGCAACACAGCTAAAATGCAATGTCATTCTGATGAGAGTGATAATGTAGATCCAAAATTACACAGCACCACTGCCCTAAAATCCATGATTTCAAAACCAGATGAAAACTCTTTGAACTCTAATCCAGTTTATGACTTAGACTCAACAAATGTAGAGCAAATTCATTCAGTATCAGATAGGGAGAAGCAAGTAGGGAGAAAAGATACAGACAAAAAACTGAACATTAACTGTGGGGAAAGTATTTTACCTTGTGTTCCCGAAAAGACAAATGGTACCTTAAATTCTGATCAAGATGACAGAAAATCTAAAATTCATGCAGAAGAACAGACAACTCCTAGTCAGCTGTCTGATGACTCTGACATGACTGAAGGCAAACATGCTACTGTGGACTCAAATACTTCCTCCAGCTGTTTTTTGGAACAAATACCAGGGAAAAATTCTCCGAAAGATATGGAAACAACGGGAACTCCAGAGAACCATGGAACTCCAGAAGCTCCATTCATGAGTCACTGGAATTTGAGTGCCAGTGTTCTGCATCAGAGGGAGAGTCCTGAATCTGACACTGGCAGCGCTACAACATCCTCTGATGACATAAAGCCCAGATCTGAAGACTATGATGCAGGAGGGTCTCAGGATGATGATGGGTCAAATGACAGAGGTATTTCTAAATGTGGCACTGTGCTGTGCCATGACTTCCTGGGAAGAAGTAGCAGTGACACCAGTACTCCTGAAGAATTAAAAATATATGATAGTAACTTAAGAATTGAAGTGAAAATGAAAAAGCAAAGTAGTAATGATCTTTTCCAAGTTAATTCGACAAGCGAGGATGAGATTCCTAGGAAAAAGCCGGAAATTTGGTCTCGATCTACAGTAGTTCATCCTAGGGTAAGAGAAACCATTCCACGAGGCAGTGTCCAGTTTGTTCAGGAGGGAGATCAGGTTTCTTCCTCAGCAGATGAAACAGAAGACGAAAGGTCTGAAGCTGAAAATGTTGCAGAAACTTTCTCTACATCTAACCCAGTGCCTCAGCAGTTTCAGGGAATAATTAATTTAGCTTTTGAAGATGCAACTGAAAATGACAGTCACGAGTTTCGTGCAACTAAAACCTTTAAAAGGTCGGTTTTACTTTCCGTGGACGAATGTGAAGAACTGGGATCTGATGAAGGGGAGGCCCCCGCTCCCCGTCGGCCTTCTGCGGAGTGCCTGTCACCTTCCGATGTTTTTGAGAGCGATTCTCATGAACATCATGGAAGGACCTGCTATTCCAGGCTCTCACAAGCAAGTGAAGGTAGTATCTTAGAATGTTCACAAGATAAAAGCAATAGTGTATATAAGAACAAAAGCTCTCCCAAGGGTCTTAGTAGCACTGACTCTTCAAGAAAAGATAAGCAGAGTGCTTCAGCCACAGAGAAAAAGAGCACAACAAATGTCCTGTCCAAAGGAGGCAGACAGCTTCCTCCAGAATATAAAAAAGTAAACAGTGGTAGCCATGTGGATAATGACTTTCAGCCATGCAGCAGACTTTCAGAGAGTGACGTAAAATCTCAAGAAAGACCATGTCATCTGGAACTTCATCAAAGAGAACCCAATTCTGACATACCAAAGAACAACTCTACAAAATATCTGGACTCCTGTCGGAGTCAGGTTCTGCCTCAGGAAGGTCAAGTGAAAGAGAGCCATTCTGCAGCTACCGAAAAAGCTAATGTTGCTTTATCTGCAGGTAATGTACAGAAATAGAAATGCTAAATCCGTTAAGAAAATGATTTTATAGAATTTTACGTTGTATGTAGCCCTGAATGGTATATTTTAGTTAGATAGAATAATTACTTAAGGAACAGATTCAAATTTTAAATGAAAACTGAAATTTCTTAACAAAATGAAAATTAGATAGTTACTCTTTATTGCTCACTTAGTGGAAAATTAACATATAGTAAAAATTTTGGTTGTCTGTTAGAGCTAGCCTACTAAGATATTTTAACATGAAAGAATAAAGAGAAAAACTTAGATTGCTATTATTTAGTTATTTATATCTGATTAAACATAAGAATTCTTGGCTATTAGAAATGTTATTATACACTGCACATGACTGATGGACTATGCCAATATATATCTAAGAGGGCTGTGCAATAGGTAACTAAAAGCACTGAACTATTTTAGCTAGATTAATTATTACGATTTATATACACTTTACAGAGATTAAGACTTTCAGGATCACTATAATTCTATTCTAAAATTTTCAAGTAAAAAGATAAATTTCCTAAAAGAGATTATATTTAGAAGCAATGATAATATCTGAAAAAAGCCCAGGCTTATTTCATATGTACAGATGGGTTCCTGTCTAATTGTTTTGTTTGTTTGTCTTTATGATAGTAATTTGAATTAATGACCCACATTTAAAATATGCAATAGTGGCTGACTGAGTAGCTATTGTATATTAGAACTAAGAAGAATACTGATCAGTAAGTCCCTTTTCAGCAAAATCACAAGAGTAGGGAGCTCTTTAAAACTGTACTTGTTTGTTTGTCCTTGTTTGCATCCTCCTTTGCATGTGCAATGTACAAGTAAGCCTTTAGAGAAAAGGTATTTATTCCCCTTTTGAAGCCAACTTACCTTAAAAGTCACCATTGAATAACTATGTCTTTTTTCTCTTTAAGTTTCTGTGGTAGTTTATTAGATATATGTGTGCATTCTGTTTATGTTTAAATAATTTGTTTTCTGTATCACAAATTTTCAAAGAAAATTTTGGAGAATTATTGTTAGTTGCCTATGTTGATTTTGCTGCTAAACATTACCTTTGAGTTTTTTTAAACATAAAAAAAGAAATGCATCAAAAATCTTATCAATTTTGTATAAATGTTATTTTCCCCATTCTGTGTTTTTTTGGACTATACCTGTTATATTGTGTTCTACAAAACTCTGAGGGGTACCAACATGTGCAATTTTTACATTGTGTAGTATTATGAATTATTTCAGGAGACATAGATGATTGTGACACACTGGCACAAATCTACATGTATGACCATCGGCCTTCAAAAACCCTGTCTCCAATATATGAGATGGATGTAACAGAAGCATTTGAGCAGAAAATGGAATCAGAAACACACATTACAGACGTGGATTTTGAAGATGAGCAACACTTTGCAAAGCAAGATTGGACACTATTAAAGCAACTGCTCTCTGAACAAGATTCAAACTTAAATATTATAAATTCTGTTCCTGAAGACTTAAATTTAGCACAGTATCTAATCAGTCAGACACTACTTTTATCACGAGACAGCTCAAAACCTCAGGGTAAAGCGTATGTTGACACTTTGAACAGATGGAGCGAACTAACGTCTCCATTCGATGAGTCCTCAGCAAGCGCCACCATGGCGAGTTTTTCCTCTGAAGAGTGCTCCCCCCGAGGGGAATGGACAATTCTGGAACTGGAAACTCAGCACTAAGCATATTAACACTTTGGAAAATGTTAAACTCTACCATGCCTTTATTTTTTGATGCTTATATTCAAATGATAATTACATTAGCCAGAGATAGACTATCCTTAATAATTGGAGTCTTTCCAGTTTATTGAAGTAAACATAGTTTGTTTATTAATATGATATTAAATGTAGAAAAAAGTGTTTTTCTAAAAATTTTGAGCATGTTTTCTATAATCATTAGAGAAATTAGAAGACTTGTAAGGAAACTTTTGCTTCAGTTTTTCCTTCCTAACTGATCATCTGTTTAACTTGTTTACCAGTCAAAAATTTAAAATGTGAATGCACAAGTAAAACAGTCTCTTTACTTTTTGCTCTGCATATGGTAACAGTAATTTAACAATAAAACTTCCTGTGCTTGTGTCAATTTATTTATGTAGAGTTAATCTGGGAGTAACATTCAAACTCAGGTTTGTATGGTTGAGGCTGATAGCTTAATATTAGAAAAAAATCTTAAGGTCCAGGAAAGTGTCACGTAAATGCATCTCAGATTTCACTGACAGTTTTACTGACACAGGAGAAATGGAGTCTCCAGTAACCTTTGGGGATGTGTCTGGAGAGAGGCATCTGCTCTTGTTCAAAAGAAGTGGGAAAACACTCATTTGAGTTACATAAACTCCTCTGTAGTTAGCTAATCACTCAGTCATTTTCCATCTCATGCTGGAGATATTTTGGAACTCCACCTGCAATAAGCATGCACTAAATATTAACTTGAAAATGGGTACACGGGCCAGTTCAGTTACTGAGTTAAATTATGTGTGTGCACATGCACACACATGTAGGTTTGCTTTTTCCATTTGTCTATATGCTCTAGTTCCTTATTTCCCCGGTAGATTACCTTTCAGTCTGTAATCCTGGTAGAAAGGCAAAGATAAACGTTTTTCACAAACCGCTACTGGGAAGTGAACACTTGGATGCCTACTAAAGGTGGACGCTGCCTTAGGTGGGATTTAGCAGAACTGGTGTCTCTCAAAGCTTTGTAAGTAATTCATAATTTCTCTAAAATACATCAGAAGTAAGGAAACCTTTTGGTTTAGAATTCCTCTTCTAAATTAATAAAGTTTTCAACAAATGATCAACAACAGAATCTAACTATACTATCAACGATTATATTAGTGGACAATTGTTTGCTATTCTTATACAGTAATGTAACTATGTTAACATTAGCTACTAACCTGTTATACCATAAATTTGCTATGCCTTTTTTTGTTTGTATGTTTTTTATTGAAGTATAGTCAGTTTACAATGTTGTGTCTGTTTCTGGTGTACAGCACAGTGATTCAGTCGTATAGGAACATACATATATTCGTTTTCATATTCTTTTTCACTGTAAGTTAAGATATTCAATATAGTTCCCGTGCTGTACAGTATGAACTTGTTTAGCTATTTTATATATAGTAGTATCTGCAAATCTCACTATGTCTTTTTAACTAGACACTCTGCAGGGGCCACTTGTTCATTCGTCAAGAAACACATTCATTCTAGGCACTGAGGTGTGAAAATAAAAAAGGTTTGATTCCTACCCCCGCCCAAAGAAAAAGAGTTCAGTTTTCTAGTGAGGGAGGAAACCAGTATTCTAAGAATCTGTATCTTAAAGCTGGATGGGAATTTAGAGGTTAGTCTAATTAAAGAAAAAGGTTAAAAACCAGTATTCTAAGAATCTGTATCTAAAAGCTGGATGGGAATTTAGAAGTTAGTCTAATTCCTTCAGATCCCCAGGGAGGATCTGAAGCCCTGAGGAATTTAAAACCTGCCCCAAATCCCACACTAATCAGTGTTCCTTAATTTCAGTGTGATGCTATTCCTACCACGTTACACACTTCATTTGATTTTTATCATAAAAACTGAGAACAGATTCATTCATGGTTTGTAGTATAAAGAAGTAACGTAAGACAGAGTCAGGAATAGCACAGATTCCCAAGACAATGTTTTCTTTTTCTCTAAGTATGCAATTATTTTAAGTGTTATTACTATATATAAACTAGATAAACAAAGAGGACCTACTGTGTAGCACAGGGAACTATACTCAATCTCCTATAATAACATGCAGTAGAAAAAAACTGAGAAGAAAAAAATATATATATGTATATATATAACTGAATCACTTTGCTGTACAATGGAAACTAACATTGTAAATCAACTACACTTCAATAAAAAGTTTTAAAAAAACAAAAGTTAAAATAAAAATATGCAAAAGTTAAAAAAAAAGGTATTCAACTTCATGTCACATCTGCAAATAGATAATAGGGAAGGCATTGTGTGTAAGTATGGTATCTTAGGTAATTTCAGGACTGTGTTTTCTTATCATGGCTTTTTGTGAACAGTACATCTACCAGTCTGTTTGCTGTGGACTCTGGGCTAGTTCTTTATCATTCAATAAACATATTGAAAAGTAATTGCTAACATTTATTTAGCACTTATTAAATGTTAGACACTGTGCTAAGTGCTTTAAATATGCATTAACAAATTTAATTCTCACAACAGTTCTATGAACTATGTCTTACCTTTATTTTACACAAGAGGAGATTGATGTAGCATCCTTACTCTGCATTAGCCACCCTGGTGGATGAAACTTAAAGAGAAGTAACACACTATACTATTATTTGGTACGTTAATAACTGTATATGGTCAAAGTTGTAAGAGCTCAGAGGGAAAAGCTATGAAAAGCTCATCCAGGATAGACAATTAGAGACAGCTTCTTAGGGCAAGTCACATTCAGTGCCTGCTTCAGAACTTCTGTAAAGAAGGGGCTTAGTGGCTGCGTCTAGTTTGGAAGTGAAGGCCAGAGGACTCAACTTGAAGATATACTTGCATAGAAAGTACTTTACTTTCCTTAGATTGTAGGTTATAGGTCAATAAAATTAGAAATGTTCTTAAAAGATGCTTTTATACATAGTTTAACCGAAGACTCAAAAACTCCACCCATTCTAAAAAAAACCTTAATTTTATTTTGACTTGAGTTTGTGGAGTACTGATGAAGATTATGGGGACAGTCTAAAGCCCTTTTATACCATCTGTTGGAGTAACCAGATAACATCTGATGCTCACTTTCAAGGATGAGTATGGTGCCTGGGTGGTTGCTGATGTCATTAACCAAAAACTGAAGCAAGCTCAGAAGTGAGGATGAGTTTAATTTAGGACATGCTGAGTTTGAGATGCCTGTGGGACATTCAAGAGGTTGAGGACAAAATACTGTGAAATAGTCAGAAGAAGAAAATCCTGGGAAAGAAGACTGAAAAAGAATAGTCAGAAGTAAGAGAACCAGGAGACCAAAGATAAGAGGAGAGAGTGGTGGAACGTATAATCACCACTAATCAGAGAAGGGCAAAATCAAGGCTGAGATTCTACTTTAACCCATCAAATTCGCAAGGATTTTAAAAGGTTTGTAAAAAATTCAATGTTAGCAAGAGAATGATAAGTTTGGGGTCCTCATATGTTGCTGCAGGAGTGTAAGTTACCTTTCCAGGAAGCAATGAGGCAGTCTACAACAAGAATGTTTATGATTTCATATCCTTAACCTAGTCCTTTCCTCTCTTGGGATCTACCATTAAGAAATAAGAAGAGACCTAATGATACTTACAAGCTTCTGCACAGCAAAGGAAACCAGAAGTAAAACAAAAAGACAACCAACGGAATGGAAGAAAATTTTTGTAAATGAAACCGACAAAGGCTTGATCTCCAGAATATACAAGCAGCTCATATGACTTAATAAGAAAAAAACAAACAACCCAATCCAAAAATGGGCAAAAGACCTAAACAAGCAATTCTCCAAGGAAGACATACGAATGATCAATAGACACATGATAAAATGCTCAATATCACTAATTATCAGAGAAATGCAAATCAAAACTACAACGAAGTATCACCTCACACCAGTCAGAATGGCCATCATTCAAAAATCCACAAATGACAAATGCTGGAGAGGCTGTGGAGAAAAGGGAACCCTCCTACACTGATGGTGGGAATGCAGTTTGGTGCAGCCACTGTGGAAAACAGTATGGAGATTCCTCAAAAGACTAGGAATAGACTTACCATATGACCCAGGAATCCCGTTCCTGGGCATGTATCCAGAAAGAACCCTACTTCAAAATG